AGCCTAGGAGTCTTAAAAAAAAATAGGAAATCTTTGTAGGTTCACAGTGGCCTCCGGTAGGTTAGTGGTTAGTGTTCTAGTCTGGTAGACCGGAGGTGGTGGGTTCGATTCCCACCTGAGGCACTGGTTAAGGAGCTCACAACAGGCCCGATAGAGGCCTAGGTGTATTTCTTCGGATTTGATGTATATACATCCTCCTTTCAAACTAACTAACTTGTAGGTTCACAAAAAATTGGGAACTTATGAAGTATAAAGTATTTAAAACAAAGCATAATGAAGTAGAAAATGAGCATTTGTCGAGATTAAATCTATAAAGAAAAAATTAAAAATATGCAGAGAGCAGTTTTTTAATTTTTTCTTTATAGATTTAATCGAGATTTAAAAAGCATTATGTCAATAAAATTTCTTTTTTTGGAAACGCACTTTCCTGAAAATTTTGCTACAGAATCAGATAAACATGGCGAAAGGATCCACCAAGTCATATTACAAATACGAAGACGATACAAAGGAAAATGGTCAGAAGTAATGCTTTGGGGGTCTATTTGCCGTGATACATCAATGTAATAAGTTTATAGATCCAGATTCAGTCAACAAATTTTGCAAATCTTCAACATTTTTTTTTAATACATTAATAGGAACATATTGAGTCATCTAAAATGGGCAACAATAATTTGATAACGACTTAACGATTTGAGAATTATTGCTCTAAAGTTGAAATTTATACAAAATATAGATGTTTCTTGGATGCATCCATCGGTATCAAATATTTATTTGATTTAACTACAAATTTTTATTTTTGTGGACTAAATTCGTTCCACTTTTAAAGTCGATTAATCTAATAATCGGGTTTTGTTGATTATGATTTTTTTTAATTTTCTATAAAATTAACCTTTGGACTGTCCATTTTTAAAGAAAATTCAATGATATTTGATTAACGATTTCTTTGGACCAAGGACGAAGGCTTACTGAATATTGTTTGAATCCAATGCAATTGAACAATTCTTATATGTGGCTGTCTCAAGAAGAATGAGAACAAGTATATGATTCAAATATTTAATTCCCCCCTCCCCTAGCCATGTATATTGATTCTCAACATATGAATTATCCTTCTGAATATTTGAAGTATAAGAAAAGTAAATCAACGTATATTTTTATTTTAACTATAGAAAATTCTAAGTATTAAGAAACTAATAAAAATAAATAACCTACAATGTCTTCAACAGCATAAATGTTGCTCATAGAATATAGTTTATCACCAGATACTATAAAGCTATTAAATCTATTGTTTAGTAAATCCACTTGTTGACTAATATGTTGGAAAAAACTACACAGACATACAGTTTATTAGCACCATTAACCGTTGACTGTTAAATGAATTACGAAAGTAGGGATAAAATCGGGAAACTTACTCCACACGGGTTTAACATGATGTTTATGATGCACTCGTCTGTCGTCCGTCCGTCCATTGTATGCTACAACACACATGTGTATTTCTATTAAATTTAATAAAATTAATCACATGAGCAAAGTATCAAACAAAGACAAAGTTGGATTTAATTAGTAAAATTAAATCTCACAACTTTTTTTCTTTCGCCCGGTTTTTGTTCACTTCTATTCCACAATTTATTACATTTAAGACAAGAGGAAACAAAAACAGAAGAATAAAAAAAATTTACACGCACTCATTTGTTGTTGTTGTTATTTAAACGAGTACGAGCGTAAATGAAATACATTCACAAACATGCATTAACACACTGTTAAACGGAAAAGGAAACAAAAGAAACAGATTCGCACACAACATATGAGCATAAAGTACATAAAATTCTATTACTTAAATTATACACATGATAATGATGATGGTGAAGATGATGAGGATGAGAGTGATGATGACAATGCTCATATTGTTTGTTTACTCCCTGCTGTTTTTCAAACTCTGGTCGGGTACCATAATAGAAAGAGTTTTTGTACATATTACTATTGTGTGTAGCTAGCTGGTTAATGCAACAATATTGTTCCTGCTCCAGCATCAGCAATAGCTACAACTAATATGTACTTACTTGTACTACCACTAGTTTAATCGAATTTATTCCCACACATAATATCTTCCAGACATCCGTAGACACACGAAGCGCATAAAGTTAAGTAATCTGATTAAGATCGAGTATATATGCTATGTATATGTAGTATATATATATATTCTATAGTATAAAAGTACTACTAGGTTTTTTTCTTTACCACCCTACGCTTTTTTTGTAGTTTGTTCTTTTTTTATATTATTTTTCTATTAGTATATGAATCAAGCAGGTGGGTGATTCGAATGGTCGGAATATACTAAAACACAGACTGAAAATTGTCTATGTTGTATTTGTTTGTTGTATTTGTATTGTTTCCACACCACTTATAATGATGTTGCTCCTGTTATTACTACTAAAACTGCTGTGCATGAGTGCTACTGCTGGTTAAATGTAAGAAAAATGAATGTTAAGTAAACAATGACTTCTTGAAAGAATTATTCAGTAGTCAAGTATGGATTAAGGAAATAAGATGAGAATAGATGAAGAAAAAAAAAAAAAAGCAACGTAGTAAAGGAGAAAAAACCATTCAATGTTATGACAACAATAGAAGGACAATTGGACAATAAAGAAATATTAATTATGAAATTTTTAGGATTTAAAAGAAAAATTGTCAAATACTTAGGTGGAGTTATTATGTTGGCTAATCCATAATATATTACGGAATTTGTGTGAGGGTTTTATAGAATATAAAAACGTATAATAAGAGCTGTAGTAAAGGCATGGATTTGTTGATTTTGAACAGAGTTTTCGAATAAGTTTTTATATTTAACTGTTGGAACGCTGTATGAGTATTGCTTCTGGAGTAGTAGCAGATTTTTTTACATTTTTACCATCATATTAGTTTAAAATTCGAATACAAGTAAAACTTTTCAGCTATTTTCTGTAATAGAGTAGATATTATTTTTAATAACACTGGCCAGCAAAAAAAGATTTTTAGGGCTCCTTTCAATGTTAATGACTAAATCCAGATGTGGTAACAAAACAAAATTTTGTTAGAAATTTAAAGTAAAATTTTATAATGTGGACAATATTGACAAAATCAACAACAACAACTGAAACAAGTAAAATTGACTATAAGGATATCTGAATCAATAAACATATTACTTTCCAGTTGTTTTTCTATTCATTGATGTTTCACTACAAATAGACCAACAAAAATTTTCAAGATTTATTTTTGAACATTTTCCCTTGTACCATCTTCCTATTTGTAATATGACTTGGTGGATCCTTTCGCCATGTTCATCTGATTCTGTACCAAAAGTTTCAGGGAAAAGTGCGACTCCAAGAATAAAAATCTTGATATGCAGAGAGCTGTACTGGAATTTATTTTATAGTTTTCAGCTTTTTGCACCCCAAAAAATAATGACAAACGTCTAAAAATGCTATCTATGGTAATTTTTTAATTACCATATTTATTGAAATATTTCAAATTCGTATTAATGACGATTCGTATTAACTTAAATGTGAGTTTCTGTCTTCATTAGATAGTGTAAATCGTATTTGAAGAATAGTTATAAATGGAAAACCCTTCTGACGGCAGTTTCATACTTTAAACAATTGTGTTAAGTAAATTTTAAAATTTTGAAAAAATCTCCATGTGACTTATGGACAATAAAGCGAATAAAACTGTAAAGAAATTAGGTTGATATCTCTCACAGATTAGCAATACCTGCGATTTGAATTTCGATGATTTTGAAAAAAATTGTAATGTTTTAAATTAAATTTAATTCCTTACTGTTATATAAAATCTTAAAGTTCCACTTAATAGGAAACATACATCTAAAGTTTTAGTAATATCGAATAAAGTAAATCCATAAACTGTGAAGGCCAGTTATGCAATATTGGAAAAATTTCTTGAAACTATAGTGAAATATTATCTTGTTTTCAACCGATTTCAATGAAATTTAGTAAAAATATATAATGAAGAAATTAACCCTTAAACGTAAATATAGTTTTTAATTATATAAAATGTCCGTAATATATTAGGTAAATATTCAATGGCATTTTGCGAGAAAATTGTGGGCGATAGAGAAAAACAGTTCAAACAGAATCTGGTTTCAGCAGCTAAAAATACATAAAAAACAGTTATATTGGTGTCAAACCTTCATTTTATTGGCCTGTGTTATTATACAAATTTTATAAAAACAAAATGGAAAATTTCATAATTTTTCAAGTTTTTGAACTTATAACTGACAGATGGATCTATCTACGGTCTTAAAAATTTGCAGTTTTATACTTTCAAATAGTAAGTACGATACTATTAAAAGTTTTTTAAAAAAGTATTACTTAAAATAAAACAATACATTTCATAAACATAGACATTGAGTTTTCGAGTATAACTTTAATGACAGATCCAAGGGATCCATCAAAAATAGCGCTATATAATCTTAAAGTAGTCCATCTTAGGTATTTAAAATTATAGGATTAGCTTTACCCTTTTTATTGAATAAACTTTTTATTTTTCATACAAATATTTTGAGAATTCTTACAAATATTTTAATTATGCAAATAAGTGTATGTATGAAATTATCTTAAATATTCAAATTCAACACAAAAGGTCGGCAAAGTTGTGCCAATGAAAAAAAAAACCATTCATGAATAAATTTAGAATTTAAGACTTTGTTAGAAATGTGGTAATGAAATATTTATAAGAACAAAAACACAAAAGTAGGTAAATATTTAAATATAAAATAGTTGTATACAAAAGCATAGGCTAACATTAAAGAAAAATATATAAAAATAAATTAATTAACGATGGGCGAGCGATAAGTAAGTTTAAATATAAATTTAAATAAAAGAAGTTGCAAGAAAAAAGGTAAAGTGAAAATAATTAGATAATAATGTTAATTGGACAGAAAGTAATGGACTAGATAGCCCGCTGTGAACATATAAATAGTTAAAAATATTTTCAGGAAAAGTACAGAATTCAATCAAAGCTTACAACAGAAGCTTAAATCCGACTTAAGGAAAAACATACAAGTTTCATTGAAAAAATTAAAAAAGGAAAATCTTAACAAAATGTTTAAAATCTCAGCAATTTTATTAGTTTTGGTGGTAGGACAAGTGTGCAGCATACCCTTAATACCCTTAATAGACGATGAAGACGATACTGTAGTAGTTGAAGCTAATACCCTAGAAAATGAAGTTGAGCATTCAAAGGATGTTATAGATTTGAGTTTTTATGGCTCAGCACTATTTGGGGAGCCCGATGATCAACATACAGCTCGCATGGTGGCCAATTATACACCAGAAGAGTATAATGTTAATCCTGAAGAATTGGGTACCTATCTGGAGGGTGATATATTGATACCCAAACAAATGGTGATCATGAAAAATGGTCTAACATCACAAAGTTCACGCTGGCCAAAGGGTATTGTACCCTATGAAATTCGTGGTAACTTTAATGATCGTGATATGTCCATAATTGAAAATGCCATCAATGAATACCATCGACGCACTTGTATACGTTTTGTACCACGCAGCAATGAACAGGATTATGTTTCCATTGTTAGTGGCAATTCGGGCTGTTGGTCTTCGGTTGGACGTGTTGGTGGTAAACAAGAAGTGAATTTACAATCTCCTGGTTGTTTAACAAAACCTGGTACTGCCATACATGAACTTATGCATGCTTTGGGTTTCTTGCATGAACAAAATCGTGAAGAACGTGACTCATATGTGTCCATTCAATATGAAAACATCCAACCCAGTGCTGTGTCTAACTTTGATAGAGCTGCTAAGACCATTGCTTTTGGAGTACCCTACGATTATGGCAGTGTTATGCACTATTCAGCCAATGCTTTCTCCACTAATGGGCGTCCTACTATTATTCCTAGGGTAAGTTTTAAGTTTTGTAGTTCAATTAACTATTAGTAATGTTTCTTTTATTTCTAGCAAAATATGGGCAGTACAAAAATGGGCCAACGTGATGGATTCTCTGCATCTGATGTAGAAAAACTTAATAAAATGTATGATTGTGGTGCCCCAGCTCAAACTCCTGCTCCCGCACCGGGTAGTGGTGGTCAAGGTGTGGATAACAGTTTGGTTGGCAGTTTTGTTAGTGGCATTTTAACCGGTTTAGGTTTAGGCGATGAGCATTCGTCTTAAATTTAAAATAGGACTTAAAAAATTAATTGGAATCATGGCAAAATATATAAAATCAAAATCTATTAGATTATTTATTCGGACATGTTAGTTTTTAAGAAAAATTCTTATACCAAAGTATTACAATTACATTTTTAAAAATAAAATATTAATATTTATTTAGAAAGCAAAACACTGTGCATCACATAACTACCTCTTCTGTGCAAACAATTAATTCATTTTAAATCGAGTTTGTAACAAATATCTGGGAAGTGATATAATTTTTCTGAAAGGTTCTTCGGAGTATAACAAGAATCTGGTTTTAAGAATTCCCAAACACCTCCAAAATCTTGAGTTAGAGAAAAAAATCCAGGTTTTCGTACCTTTATGCATTTAAAAGTCAGCAGTAAGGTTGAATATCAACCAATTTAAGGTTCGTTGAATTTAGAAAATAGAAGCTAAGGCCTTTTAATAATATTTTGAAAATTATGTATATTCATGAGTTTTTAAAAATCCGTTAACAATGGACTATGTTATTGCTCTTTTCCTTAATACTAAATTGTTCAAAAATTGTTTTTAATCAAATTGGAAACTTTAGTAAAAAATAAAAAATTATATAAAATATATAATTATAAATCTTAAAATTAGGCTCAACATACACTTTTTAATATGTATAAGTAAAAAAGTAAATGTAGCAATTTATTTAACTTCCTAGACATGCATCATCATGTGGGCACCTTTAATGTAGCAAAGTGACAATACATAAAAACAAATACAATAAAATCATGGAACATTTTATTCATACACATTCACTTCAATAGAAATTATATATGTATGATGTCCTCCAAACTCACATAGAAACAACCACTTGTTATAAAAAGCCAAGCATACAAATGCACACAATCATACTTATGCACATTAACTCATTCACATGAATAGAAGCCCTGCAGTGTAGTATTTAGTATTACTTAAATATAGTCTAGTCTATAGTCTAGTCTATAGTCTAGTCTATAGTCTAGTCTATAGTCTAGTCTATAGTCTAGTCTATAGTCTAGTCTATAGTCTAGTCTATAGTCTAGTCTATAGTCTAGTCTATAGTCTAGTCTATAGTCTAGTCTATAGTCTAGTCTATAGTCTAGTCTATAGTCCTAGTCTATAGTCTAGTCTATAGTCTAGTCTATGTCTAGTCTATAGTCTAGTCTATAGTCTAGTCTATAGTCTAGTCTATAGTCTAGTCTATAGTCTAGTCTATAGTCTAGTCTATAGTCTAGTCTAGTCTAGTCTATAGTCTAGTCTAGTCTATAGTCTAGTCTATAGTCTAGTCTTAGTCTAGTCTATAGTCTAGTCTATAGTCTAGTCTATAGTCTAGTCTATAGTCTAGTCTATAGTCTAGTCTATAGTCTAGTCTATAGTCTAGTCTATAGTCTAGTCTATAGTCTAGTCTATAGTCTAGTCTATAGTCTAGTCTATAGTCTAGTCTATAGTCTAGTCTATAGTCTAGTCTATAGTCTAGTCTATAGTCTAGTCTATAGTCTAGTCTATAGTCTAGTCTATAGTCTAGTCTATAGTCTAGTCTATAGTCTAGTCTATAGTCTAGTCTATAGTCTAGTCTATACTCTAGTCTATAGTCTAGTCTATAGTCTAGTCTATAGTCTAGTCTATAGTCTAGTCTATAGTCTAGTCTATAGTCTAGTCTATAGTCTAGTCTATAGTCTAGTCTATAGTCTAGTCTATAGTCTAGTCTATAGTCTAGTCTATAGTCTAGTCTACAGTCTAGTCTACAGTCTAGTCTACTAGTCTAGTCTATAGTCTAGTCTATAGTCTAGTCTATAGTCTAGTCTATAGTCTAGTCTATAGTCTAGTCTATAGTCTAGTCTATAGTCTAGTCTATAGTCTAGTCTATAGTCTAGTCTATAGTCTAGTCTATAGTCTAGTGTATAGTCTAGTCTATAGTCTAGTCTATAGTCTAGTCTATAGTCTAGTCTATAGTCTAGTCTATAGTCTAGTCTATAGTCTATAGTCTAGTCTATAGTCTAGTCTATAGTCTAGTCTATAGTCTAGTCTATAGTCTAGTCTATAGTCTAGTCTATAGTCTAGTCTATAGTCTAGTCTATAGTCTAGTCTATAGACTAGTTTATAGTGTACTAGTATATAGTCAACCAAAGACATTTAAATAAAAACGGTTACATTGTATTTTTGCAACACTGATGTGGAGGTACACGTACATAAATAATGCGAATGAATAATGTGACATACTGTATAAACAGTAACAAAATCAAGGTGAATCTTATAAAGCCACAAAGACAAAATAAATAAAAAATTACAAACACAAATACTTATGTACGTACAATATCCTTAATTCTACATTTTAACATTTTTTTTTTTAAAATTTATGACTAAGCGATATAATCAAAGGTATTCAAACCAAACCTGAGGTTTTTGAAATAGACCTAGAGTGATCTACTTGCATTCCTATCGGAAAAAATCCTAGTAGTTTTATCTGTCGGTAGTAACTTCTTTCGATTTACTATGTGGTTATGTCAATTGGTATCTGATTAAATGACTGTAAATAACCCTCTGATGGACTATGTATGTTCATATGTATGTCAAACTTTCATAGAATCATAAACATATAGTGCTCTTTGGGATCAATAAATGTTCTGAAATGAGTTTCATATGTATGTTAAATCATACTGTAGGATTTTTATACGGTCTGTAATTCCCTTATAGACCCTATTTTTATTTTCTGTTGTACCAGACAAACCACTAAATACCCTAAGAACCTGTTACAATAAAACCTATAAAGGTACACTTTATTTTCCATTTCCATAGGCACATCCTTAAACATAAGTACTATTAGTCCTAGAGCAGCAATTGTATTAAATAATAAAAGGGTTCGTATTTTTTTTCATTATTTTGTTTATTTACTGTGAAGTGTGCGAGTGTGAGAGCTTTTAAATTGTTTTTGCTATTTTTGTATGAATGTGTTTTTTTGTTTTTGTTATTTACATACCTGTTGCAGTGAAGGCATTGTTTTGAATAAAAATACAATTTCCACACTTTTTTCCACCGATATCGTTAGATTAAAAGACAAAATAAGTTGAGTTGGAGTTTTACTGGTTTTGTTGGTTTATATTTTGCCTCTCCTCTAGTGAGTTTAAAAGTATGTGTGTATGTTGTTGTGTGACTTTTGTGTTTTTGGGTGTGTGTGTCTGTATGTTCGAGAGTCCTAGTATGAGAGAGGAACTTGTCCCTTTAGGATAAAATGAACGTACATCAACAGCAGCTACTCACATTGGGTGTCAATGGGGACTTGTAAAACGTACTATGAACACTCACTCGAACTCTTGTGTTCGTACATATACAGGAACAATACCAAAACAATGAAAAAGAAAAAAACGACAACAACAACAACAATTCGTATAAAACCGGCGTTTTTCAGGAAAAACAACGAACAGTTGTATTTACTACTACATACACAACTAAAGACCGGATTCGTATGATAACGACGACTGATGATGACGACAACGAAAACAACATGCACGATGTAAAAACAGCTGTTTTTTAATATTTAATAATAAATTTATCCATCCATACGTGTGTATTTGTGTTTGTGTGTTATTCGTGTATTCGTTGTGTGCAGACCTTTTTGCAAATGCCGCTCGCTCATCAGCACTTTAGAAATGCTCTCCTTTAGAACACTTCCGCTTCCGTAATGTATACAAAAATGAAGCAGGAAAATAAAACAAAAACCATGTACAGATTTTTCTCAAATATTGTTTGAGTTTGATACGTGAAGTTTTATTTACAACCTCAACATGTTTTATGTTGTTAGTCCTTGTATGTTTATAACTTTTCTTGTGTTTTTTTCGCTCTGCTGTTATCCTGTCGTTGTTTGTTTTGTTGTTCTTTTCTCGGAATTGTTGTTATTGTTATTGTTGTTGACTTTTTTCCTCTGTATTGTATGTAGCAAATGTCTGGTTTAGATTTGCTTTGGTGGTTTCATCATTGAAGGAACATTTATTATTTATTTATGTGAGAGTGTGTGTTTTTTCTCACACAATGTATATTACGTACGTACACGTCTCGTGTCTCAGGCTGTGTCCCTGTAGCACGATGTAGCTGTAGCTGACTATCTGTTCTAGCCTTTGAATGATGCAAATTTTATGCCTTGTTTTGATATCTTTTCCTTGCAATAATTTTGATTTTCGCACATAATACTGTAAGTAGACAGACGGTAAAGAAATTGGAAAAAAGCAAAAAAAAACATAAATTACAAAAAAAAAACAACATAAAAAGAATAACGCTACTTTAAAATCATGAATATATTTTCATTGCAAAAGGTTAATAAATATCAATAAGGTGTGATTTTTATATAAATGCTCAATATCATGGAGCCAATGTGTTTTATTCTTTTCTTATTAAGTACTTGTTATCAAATTTTCAATGATTACAGATTTATGTTTGTTAATGGGGAAATATTTTTTTTGTTGGCTCTTAAGCTTTTCGAAGATATTATAATTTTAAATAAGATAGAATGGTTGGAGGTAATATGTTATTAGTATTGATGTAAGCACTGTTTCCCTTAAGAGAAATGACAGCTTACACTTGGAACTAAATGAACTAAGGGGGAATCTAAAGCCAAAAAATATATGAATTAAGATTTAAATAAGAAGTTAAACGTTTAGGCAGTTAAAGCTAAATTTTTTGTTTTTGCCCACAGTAAACTTACCCCCTTATTCACAAACAACATTTTTATTTTATAAAAGGTTTATAAAACAATATTTCCATACAAAATCTAATTTATAAACTGTTTTGTTCGTGAATAAGAGGGTTAAAATATATGTTTAAATAAATTTTTTTTATTATTTATTTGTTTTTATAGCCTTCATCTTCGTGAGCCGACCCCATAAAGTATACACATTCATGTTCTAGATCCTTATAGATAGCGGAGTCGATTAAGCTATGACAGTTTGTATATTGGTTGAAACCAATTTACTGAAGACCCCAGATATCTTCGAGATCCAAATCTTCAATAATTTTGTCAGACATGCTTTCGAGAAGTTCCCTAATTAAAATCAGCAGAATCGGTTCTTCAATAATGGAGATATGAGCAAAAATCCGAGACAACCTCAGTGTGTGTTGTTCTTACCTATATCAGAGATGGAAAATTGTGTGTAGGAAATTAAGCAGGGAAAATTAAATATGCTATTGGTGTGTAATTTGTAACTCTGGTACCAAGAACCATTTTTTGGAACATTTTCGTTCTTTAACTGGTACTTTTTGAGTTTTCAATAACTTGGTACTTCAACTTCAACTGGTTTAATGCAGATCTATAAAATGCGACTTTCTGGCAATTTTTCATTTTCCAACTGATTTTTTTTGTAATAAGATACGTATTGAACATTTTTTATAAACATACAATAGTGAAGGGTATAAAGGTTTTGGCACAGTCGAATATGGTTAAGGCGCGAACAGTCAAGTAGAGTCGAAGAGACTCCGTTTTGTTTCTTTTATTAAAACAAGTAAGAAATTATAGTCAGGCCAGGCCGACCATATACTACTCTACATCAGTGTTAAAAATAAAATGTGATTTAGTTTTCATAATAAAGCATTTAAGTTGAATTACACCTTTCCTCAAATATACTTAAGTCATTTATTGTTGAATAAAATTGTGAAGGGGGCTTTGTATGGGACTAGAGTCATTAAAATTCATCAGGTCAGACTCTGTCGGGATATGACATAAAAAAAATGATATTTGGTAGTGTTCACAGATTTTAATCCTTTTTGCCCTAGGGCGTTCCGTTTAGCCAGAAAATGGACTTTTATATTTTCATTCAAAAATCGAATTTTGGTGAGAAGTAAAAGTGATCACAGATTTTAATCTTTTTTGCCCAAGGACCTTTCGTTTAGCCAGAAAATGGACTTTTACGTTTTCACTAAAAAACTTAGTTTTTGTGGGAAAAAAAGTGATCACAGATTTTAATCCTTTTTGTCCTAAGGCCTTCCGTTTAGCCAGAAAATGGACTCTTATATTTTCACTAAAAAATCGAATTTTGGTGGGAAACAAAAGTGATCACAGATTTTAATCCCTTTTGCCCTAGGGCCTTCCGTTTAGCCAGAAAATGGACTTTTACGTTTTCACCAAAAAATCGTTATTCGGTGGGATATAAAAGTGATCACAGATTTTAATCCTTTTTGCCCTAGGGCTTTCCGTTTAGCCAGAAAATGGACTTTTACGTTTTCACCAAAAAATCGTTATTTGGTGGGATATAAAGGTGATCACAGATTTTAATCCTTTTTGTCCTTGGGCCTTCCGTTTAGCCAGAAAATGGATTTTTATGTTTTCACTCAAAATCTGAATTTTGGTGAGAAGTAAAAGTCATCACAGATTTTAATCCTTTTTGCCCTAGGGCCTTCCGTTTAGCCAGAAAATGGACATTTATGTTTTCACTCAAAAATTGAATTTTGGTGGGAAACAAAAGTGATCACAGATGTTAATCCTTTTTGCCCTAGGACCTTCCGTTTAGCCAGAAAATGGACTTTTACGTTTTCACCAAAAAATCGTTATTCGGTGGGATATAAAAGTGATCACAGATTTTAATCCTTTTTGTCCTTGGGCCTTCCGTTTAGCCAGAATATGAATTTTTATGTTTTCACTCAAAATCTGAATTTTGGTGAGAAGTAAAAGTCATCACAGATTTTAATCCTTTTTGCCCTAGGGCTTTCCGTTTAGCCAGAAAATGGACTTTTACGTTTTCACCAAAAATCGTTATTCGGTGGGATATAAAAGTGATCACAGATTTTAGTCCTTTTTGTCCTTTTGCCTTCCGTTTAGCTAGAAAATGTACTTTTATGTTTTCACTCAAAAATGGAATTTTGGTGAGTTTCGCTCAAAAATCGAATTTTGGTGGGAAATAAAGGTGATCACAGTTTTTAATTCTTTTTACCCTAGAACCTTTTGTTTAGCCATAAAATGGACTTTTACTCAAAAATGGAATTTTGGTGGGAAACAAAAGTGATCACAGATTTTAATCCTTTTCGCCCTAGGACCTTCCGTTTAGCCAGAAAATTTACTTTTATGTTTTCACTAAAAAATCGGTTTGAAATAAAATTGTGAGTTACAAACTTCAGCACAAACCCCACTAATGTGGTGTAAAGTATAAATATTGCATTTTTGAAAAAGTAAATACCTTTAGCGGAAAATACAATTTTTAACAACAGTTTTATTAAAAAAATGTTTAGCAAGAAATAAAATTTTTGTTAAAAATTAAATGTTTGATAAAAACTTAGATATTTAGTAGACGGAGTAAAATTTGTGATTTTTTGTATGCTTTGAACTTTTTTAAGATAGGCTGGTACGTATCAGGTTTCCTGGTACAATACTCTATTAATTTACTTTAATTTACTTATTAATCAACTTTTGTCTAAATTATAACCAAATATTTTTGGAGCGACGTTAAGCCGGATATTATATCTATCAAGAACACAAACTAGAAAATTCTCAGGAACTACGTCATGCATTCATAAATCACTACATAAGGTTTTCCACCAATATGTTTCATACAAAAGGAGCTCACAATAGGTACGATAACGTTCTATGTTTATTTCTTCAGATCCGATATAATATATGTATATCCTCATAGCCTACCGGTGCACCCGACCCTTAAATAACTCAGTGGTATATCAAAAAATGCAGGGGTTCTCTTATACCTATTCCATTGAATTATAGCCCATAGAATACAAATATACTTTTACTTTAAAACTTTAAAAAATCAAATTTGATGTTTTGTTTTAAAGATGCAAGTGATGCCAAAAGAAATAGAAAATTTATGATTGTAACTTAGACATTCGACCTTCGAATAGATTGAAAACTATTTAACCTATGATTTTAAATTTTGCACATCTTTTGCTCTTAAGAAGTAAGCTTATCGGAATTGATATATGAGTGTATCTAATAAGATTTATAATCAGTAAAAAATGTATGTGTTGCACATCACTGTCACAGTATCACCTACAATGAATCGGAACGCCTATATATAAACCTGTAAATATATTATTTTATTATTTTATTTGCTTCATTTAATTTTCTTTACTATTTTTAACCATTTTAAAGTAGTTGCCTTTTCCATCGTAAATTTGTTGTGGTTTCTTTCCTTTTCTATCGACTCAGTTACAATCAGACTCATAAAAGCTTAGATCTACTGTGTAAATTGTCGTTTCATTTATATATATTTTTAAAAGTTTTACATAGTACAAACATACACAGATTCAAACATTCGTAGTCAGTCCTAAGCATTACTCCTCAAATTATAATTAGATTCTTCAATAAAGTGTTAATAATTAAATAATTAACCCGTTTGACGAAAATAACAGAATTAAAATCAAAACTATAATAGAATTCAATTTAAAATAAGCAATTAACCTGAAAAGAAATGTTTTTCCTTTTCCTCTCGTTTACTTACAGCCATCGTTTGGTTGCCTCTTTCGTTCAACACAGTTGAGTTTGTTCGTTCATTTGTTCATGCGTCCTTTCATACATAAAAGCCGACAAGTCGTCATACTATCAAAATCATTTCAAATGGAAAATATGGTATTAACCAAAATCGTTTGAAGTCGATTCACACATACAGGCACGTTTTTTTCGTCTTCAGCTTTTTTTTGGCTACGAAACTGGCGGCATTATTTTTCCCCCGAAAAAAAAAAACTAAAAACTAGAGTGTGGAAAATAAGTTGAATATGGTAGAATAGGATGTGTGAGTGTAAATGTGTGTATATTGGGTAAAACAAGGATATGGGTCGGGAGTATGATGAAAATAAAACAAAAAATTTAACAATATGGAAAAAGTTAAGTACGTAGAATGAACTAATGAATATTCTTTAAGAAGAAACAAGTGGAGTTTGGTTGTTGTAGTCTATTTAATTTTTTTGTTTGTGTTCCCAACTACTAATGCTACTGCTGTTTTTGTGAATTTAAGCTTGCTGCTACCCCAATCTGTCCCAACCACTTTTTCATTCTGGTACTAGTACTATTTCCATCGTAATTTTTTAACGTACACATAGTTGTCATTATAATTTTAAGACGCATACTTAGATGGAAGTGAAAAAAATACGCAAGTAAGAAATAGGCAGGAAGATGTATTCTGAGAACAAAAAAAAAACATATTCGCTATAAGTTCGAAGACAAGGAAAAAAGTTTGTTAGCAAGAGGGGTCAGAAT